CTTTTACTGAATATAGAAGACTACTGGAGATGGCATTCTCTTCTCTTTGTTTGCTTTTTCACATCTCTCGTTGTTAAACTCAGCTGTACCGCCTGTTACCTGCTGACCCCCACACTTGGGCCTTTACTGACACCCGGGAAGGCCTCGGGCGTGCGATGTAGCAGCCGTGACAGAATGGCTTCTCACTTGGGAAAGAGCATCAGCCTAGTTGTGAAGCAGTTAAAGCAAGTGTAGTATGCCCCAGTTTTGCCAGGACAGCCTCAGCTTGTGCCTGATGTCTTGGTGTAAATCTTACTTTAATAGCATTTCCCTTCACTCTCAAAGGTATCCTTGTTTGGACAGTAGGTCACCATTTGACTGAGGGTCTGAATTTCTGTTTACTTTAGTGCTGTAGCTGGGAAACGTTGTTTTTCTTTTTTCAGTTCAGTTTAACAAACATTTACTTAACACTGAGTACATATTACATTGCCGTATTGTGGGATACAAAGAAAATTCAGACAAGACCTCTGTCACCAAAGAATTTCACTTCAGTGCTTTTTACTCTTTATTTTGGTAACTCACAGCCTCATTCAGAGTCAGAGTCCTAGACCCAAGCCCTTGCCCTGGCCTCAGCCATTTAAAAAGACCCTTTTCTGACTTGCCTCTGGTTGCAAGCCCTCCTCTCCTGTGAGACCTAAGGGAATAGTCCCTTTTAAGAACCTGTGCTGTCATCACAGGCAATCTGGTATTTGGGATAATGGAATTCCTCACCCAGATCCTTTGGAGCCTGTTTCCGGGGCCTGCGTGCACCTCTTCCCTTGGACACGCGCACACAAGGTCCCTCCTTGTGCCAGGTGGGCGGTGATGGGAGAAGGAAGTGGACAGCCGGCCAGTGGCAGCAGCCAGGGTAGGCTCCTTGCAGCCTTACGGTGAAATTCAAGGATGCTAGTTTTGTGTTTGGCCATCGGCGTCATTTTGATTGTCTTTTCCTTAAAGTAGAACAGAACATTTTTTATGTAGTCATTTTAGATATTTAAATATATGGTGTCTGAGCCTCCGTTTGCATTCTTGGCATGGACCCCACAGATGTCAGAAGCAGGCACACTCAGAGTAAGACTGAGATCCCTTCCCTGACCCGTGAGATCCCACACGCTCTGCGCCTACCACATACCCTCTCTGCTGCAGCTGGCCTGGCTTCCTCATCTCAGGTTCTGTCTCTCACTGCCGCATTTTGGAATTATCTTCTTCTGGATACCCGAATTACTTCTTCCCTCAGGTCCTGTCCTTTAGGTCTTCCCTCCACCCCTTCTGGTCATTATTTTATCAGTGAGACCTAGTGAAATGTTCCGTTCAGTCGCTCAGTCGTGTCTGACTCTTTGCAACCCCATGGACTGCAGAACGCCAGGTCTCCCTGTCCATCACCAACTCCTGGAGTTTACTCAAACTCATGTCCATCGAGTCAGTGATGCCATCCAGCCATCTCATCTTCTGTCGTCCCCTTCTCCTCCTGCCTTCAACCTTTCCCAGCATCAGAGTTTTTTCCAGTGAGTCAGATCTTTGCATCAGGTGGCCAAAGTATTGGAGTTTCAGCTTTGGCATCAGTTCTTCCAATGAACATTCAGGACTGATTTCCTTTAGGATCTCCTTGTAGTCCAAAGGACTCTCAAGAGTCTTCAACACCACAGTTCAAAATCATCAATTCTTCGGCACTCAGCTTTTTTTTTATAGTCTACTCTTACATCCATACATGACTGGAAAAACCATAGCCTTGACCAGACTTACCTTTGTGGGCAAAGTGATATCTCTGCTTTTTAATATGCTGTCTAGGTTGGTCATAACTTTTCTTCCAAGGAGCATGCATCTTTTAATTTCATGGCTGCCATCACTATCTGCAGTGATTTTGGAGCCCCCCAAAATAAAGTCTGTCACTGTTTCCATTGTTTCCCCATCTATTTGCCATCATAAAGTGATGGGACTGGATGCCATGATCTTAGTTTTCTGAATGATGAGTTTTAAGCCAGCTTTTTCACTCTCTCTTTCACTTTCATCAAGAGGCTCTTTAGTTCTTGTTCACTTTCTGCCATAAGAGTGGCGTCATTGCATATCTGAGGTAATTGATATTTCTCCCAGCAATCTTGATTCCAGCTTATGCTTCATCCAGGCCAGCATTTCGCTTGATGTACTCTGCATATAAGTTAAATAAGCAGGGTGACAATATATAGCCTTGAGGAACTCCTTTCCCGATTTAGAACCAGTGTGTTGTTCCATATTGAGTTCTAACTGTTGCTTCTTGACCTGCATACAGATTTCTCAGGAGATAGGTAAGGTGGTCTGGTATTCCCATCTCTTTTCAGAATTTTTCAGTTTATTGTGACCCACACAGTCAAAGGCTTTGTTGCAGTCAATAAAACAGAAGTAGAAGGTTTTCTGGAACTGTCTTGCTTTTTCTGTGATCCAACAGATGTTGGCAACTTGAACTCTGGTTCCTCTGCCTTTTCTAAATCCAGCTTGAACATTTGGAAGTTCACAGTTCACGTACTATTGTAGCCTGACTTGGAGAATTTTGAGCTTTACTTTACTAGCATGTGAGATGAGTGCAATTGTGCAGTACTTTGAGCATTCTTTGGCATTGCCTTTCTTTGCGATTGGAATGAAAACTGACCTTTTCCAGTCCTGTGGCCACTGCTGAGTTTTCCAGATTTGCTGGCATACTGAGTGTAGCACTTTCACAGCATCATCTTTTAGGATTTGAAATAGCGCAAGTGGAATTCCATCACCTCCACTAGTTTTGTTCATAGTGATGCTTCCTAAGGCCCATTTGACTTCGCATTCCAGGATGTATGGCTCTAGGTAAGTGATCACACCATCGTAGTTATCTGGGTCATGAAGATCTTTTTTGTATAGTTCTTCTGTGTATTCTTGCCCCCTCTTGTTAATATCTTCTGCTTCTGTTAGGTCCATACCATTTCTGTCCTTTATTGTGCCCATCTTTGTATGAAATGTTCGCTTGTTGTCTCTTATTTTCTTGAAGAGATCTCTAGTCTTTCCCATTCTATTGTTTTCCTCTGTTTCTTTGCATTGATCAGTGAGGAAGACTTTCTTATCTGTCCTTGCTGTTCTTCAGAACTCTGCATTCAAATGGGTATATCTTTCCTTTTCTCCTTTGCCTTTAGCTTCTCTCCTTTTCTCAGCTATTTGTAAGGCCTCCTTAGACAACCATTTTGCCTTTTTGCATTTCTTTTTCTTGGGAATGATCTTGATCACTGCCTCCTGTACAATGTCATGAACATCTGTCCATAGTTCTTCAGGCACTCTGTCTATCAGATCTAATCCCTTAAATCTGTTTGTCACTTCCACTGTATAATCGGAAGTGATTTGATTTAGGTCATACCTGCATGGTCCAGTGGTTTTCCCTACTTTCTTCAATTTAAGTCTGAATTTTGCAATAAGGAGTTCTGAGGCACAGTCAGCTCCCAATCTTGTTTTTGCTGACTGTAGAGAGCTTCTCCATCTTTGGCTGCAAAGAATATAATCAATCTGATTTCATTATTGATTACCTTGTAATGTTCATGTGTAGAGTCTTCTCTTGTGTTGTTGGAAGAGAGTGTTTTCTATGACCAGTGCGTTCTCTTGGCAAAACTCTGTTAGCCTTTGCCCTGCTTCATTCTGTACGCCAAGGCCAAATCTGCCTGTTACTCCAGGTGTTTCTTGACTTCCGAAGTTTCTTATTCCAGTCCCCTATAATGAAAAGGACATATTTTTGGGATGTTATTTCTAGGTCTGTTAGGTCTTCATTGAACTGTTCAACTTCAGCTTCTTCAGCATTACTGGTCGTGGCATAGACTTGGATTACTGTGATATTGAATGGTTTGCCTTGGAAATGAACAGAGACCATTCTGTCATTTTTGAGATTGCACCCAAGTACTGCATTTTGAACTCTTTCATTGACTATGAGGCCTAGTCCGTTTCCTCTAAGGGGTTGTTGCTTCTAAGGGATTCTTCTAAGGGATTCTCAAATCCCCTTCCCTGCTTCTCTTCCCTTAATGTGCATCATTATCCAAAATTTAGAAGCGGTAAAAGACTGAACTAATTTTTCCCCTCAGATGTGTTTCTTTCAAAATCCCTAAGAATCAAGACTTTCTTCTCTTAAAAAATTTCTATTTTAGTTTTCATGTTTTAAGGTCATCCATGTACCCACTTTAAAGAAGCCCATAGCTCTCTGAGGCTAGTATGTGAAGCAGCAGTCTCCCTATCCTGCTTCCAGTTTCAAGGGTAACTACAACTCTATAAAGTGGTTCTTTCAGTACCACTGAAACATGCTTATATGGCTACTTCCTAACTTTTCGGTGTTGGGTATTAGATGTTTGTTTCTCCCCATGGAGGATGAGAATTAAGCTCCCCCTGACTGTGCATACACAGGCATGAATACAGCTCTCCCCCTTTTGGTTAGATAAAGATAGGTTTTTTAAACCCTGTAAACACTAATCACAGCTGAGCCATGTGGTATCCTATGTTTACTTTTCTTTTCCCTGCAGCATTTTATTTTCCCTGGAGTTAAAAGTTGTCATGATTTTGATTTGCTTACTTGTCTAGGTTATTAGCATCATTTCCACCCCAGACTGTCCCACTTATGTATATCTTCTTTCATTGTGTTCACATCTATTTTTGTTTTTTTCTTTTTTCCTCTTGAAAAAAATCTGAGTCTTAAGATCTTTTTGATCCGAATATTATTCTCAGGATTGGCTCGACTTTGACAAATCGTAGAGATACCTTCAAGAAGCCTTGTTTATCACCAACAGGACAGTGGGCAGTCATTGCAGATATAGCTGTTCTTTGCAAATACCTTCTTTTTGAATAAATCATGTAAATATGACTATTTACTATGAATTTACATATATTCACTTTTGCATGTTGTATTTAAGATCCCTTTATTGCAGAAATACAGAATGTATTCTTATTTTTCACTGTTTTAATAAATTTTTATGTGTATATATATTTTGTATTGTATTCTTTCTTTATAGGCTCTCAAAATTAGAGAGACCTGTAATTGCCCACCACTTTCTGGACCAGACCCTCGATTACTATTCAAACTCAGCATGAAGAATTTTCTTGAAGCAGAGAAAGAAGACCTAAATATCACGGTTAAACAGAAAATGGATACTCTTCCCATCCAAAACCAGAAGCAATACCATTAACATGTATAGTGGACAAAAGAACTGGCAGCTGAATTAAAATTTATGAGACACAGGATACATGAAGAATGCAGCAGTCCTTATCATTTTCATGTTATTTTTTAAAAATGATGTTTGAAAGGAAGAAAATGGATACTCAGGGTCAAATCATGTATATTACAGGTATTATCTAAATTCCTATACTAGGTATTTATTTTTCATGAAATATTGATGTATTTAATCAATTTAAAAATACCATCAATGAGGAAAATGCCACAGAATAAATTTATATTACATATTTTACTCTGTCTTATACTTTTGATTTGGGGGGAAAACGTCTAGAGGATGAAAAATCAGAACATCAGAACGTGAAGTAATTGTTATCATCTAGAGGGTTCCAGCTGAGCCCAAACTGAATTTAAGAGTTTGGGTGGTTATCAATGAACTAGGAAACTGGTAGTCTGAAATATGCAGAAATTGGTTTGCATTAGGACTGCAATTGTGTGGAATAGGGCACCTTTGACTAGAGAGTTTCCTGATCCTCATCTGTGGGCCATGAGTGATTAAGAAGAAGCTGAAGAAGCTCTTTCCGTAGGCAGACACAAGCAGTGCTGTTTGTGGTCCAAGTGGTCAAGTGAGAAGATGAGGAGAAGGACCCTCTGCAGACATGGTATGCTTTTGGTGCACTGAAGCCGCAGCAGAAGTTGTGTCATCTGGACTCGTTGATGGTATTGTAGTCTCAGTACCTCGGGGGTTCTCAGAGAACACAGCCAACCTGTTCTCAGTGAGGTATCACGGAGACGCAGGCATGGGCGAGCTGTAGTCCCCAAGTTGATCTTTCTCGGTAGCAGACATCGAAAAAGATCTGGATGAAGATGAACGAAGCACAAGACACATCCCTAGTGATACCCAGAAGTTACTGTATTTGCTACATGTAGAAATAGGTTTTAAAAATGTATTATTATTTTTGTATTATTTGTACTCCCAAACTGGTGAAGTCTAGTGATGTTGAAGTTATATTAAGAAGGATATGTTTCTTATAACACATTAAGTCAAATAAATAGTTTAACAAAAAATTAAAGGGGAAATCTACCTTTTACCTGTGCCCATTCATCACACAACCCTGTGAACTAGGTCTTGTTACAGGCATACTCCAGAGATACTACAGGACCGGTTCCAGACCACCACAAGAAAGTGAATATCACAGTCAAATGAGTTGCAATTTTTTGGCTTCCCAGTGCATATAAAGCTTATGTTTATACTGTACTGTAGTCTATTACATGTGCAATAGCATCATGTGTAAAAAACAATATACACACCTTAATTAAAAAATAATGCTGTTGGGACAATGTGACACAGTCTTGCCACAAACCTTCAATTTGTAAAAGACATGATACCTGCAAAGTGCAATAAAGTGAAGCGCAGTGAAATGAGGCATGCCTGTATTTTCAGTGTATGATGAGAAACAGGCTTGCAGAGGTTCAGTGATACACTCAGTGTCTCTCACCTAGAAGGAGCAAAGCTAGACCTTCCTGACTAGTATGTCCACTTCCACACCCTCAGCTTTCTAAAAACTAAACTCTTCTCAGTTGTTTGTCAGCTTCCTCGTGTATGACTTTGATATAGGTGAAAAACCGTCTAAGTTTAAAATCAAGGATCACTGTGTCACCTATAAGGCTGTTTTCCAGGTCTTCCTCTCAGACGTGTCTATCAGGCTTCATGTGAAAAACCTGGAATGAGGCAGGACAGCAGTGAAACCTCTCGCCCTGCCTGTGAAACTGTTACTTCTCACTGGGGATGTGTCTGGATGCAATTACATTGTCTTTGACAAAGTATTGACCTAGTTGTTAAGAAGACAAGTCCAGAGTGTATTTATGTTTTTCGAGGCTTTCTGTGTATTGCTTGGAGGGAATTTCCTCATCTGCCTACAAGACTTGTAAGGCAGAGGTTTGCATTAACCATTCTCCATTTGGTTGTTCTTTCCGCCCTTAGTGATTGGAGTTCTGTCACTCCATGCCATGTAAGGACATCTGGAGAAGGTCCCCAACAGGTCAACAGTAAAACACACTTTTAGATTTCCCTGTAAATATCCTAAGAAAATTATGTAGTGGAGACCCTAGTCTGTTTATTTTTTCTTCTATTCTCACATCTAATTGTATTGTTCAGACTTCCTAGAAAATGTATACAGGTTGACATCTTGTCAGAAAGAGCAGAGAAAATATAGAGATGATAATTTTAATGTGTACATGAAAAGTATTTTTTAAAAACTAGAATCAATAAATGTAAAAGAAATGTTACATTTCAGCTCAGGGTTTTAGGAGAAATTAAATAGCAGTTGGAACATAGTATGTGTACACATGCTTTAAGTTGTACGTGGAAACAACCTCTCTATGTCCTGCATTTAGGTGCATAACTTACTCTGAGTGCTTTTTATGTGCTTGGAGGATTTAGATGCTGTTGGCTGGAACATGATGCTGGTTAATCCAGGGCACAAATTCAATCTAATTTCTTTTATAATCCGAATTGTTTTAATACTATATCCTCTAAAACTAAGCTCAAAGAAAACATGTATATTTACTGCTGTATCTCTTAATACATAATCATTTTTAGCACATTTGCATTTTGCTGATAATGTGCAATATCATCGGTCAAAAGATTAGAAAAGAAAGCAATCATACTTGGTGAAATCTCTGCCTTTTGATAGCCATGGGACCCTGGACAAGTCCCCTAAACCCTCTAACCCTCATTTCTTCATTTATAAATGGAGATAATAAATCCTACTTTATAGGTTAACGTGATGATTAAGGGAAATGATGTACTGAAAGCATTTAGCACAATGTCTAGAGCTCCAAACAATAAAAATAGCCACAATTTATTGAATTCTTACTTTGTACTAAGAACTGTGCTAAGCATTTTTTAAGCACTATTGAACTTCACTGTAACCCTGTATATGATGGATATTATATTATCCCCTATTATAGATCAGGAAACTAATGTTCAGGGGGTTAATGAAACTTGCTCAAGGTCACATGGTATATTTCTTAAGATTATTTTACTTGCAAGAACAGAAAAGCCAACTCAAACTCAATCAAGAAAATGTATTGTCTCAGCCAACAAGCCCAGAAGTGCACTAGCTCTGGACACAATTCAGTCCAGAGGATCCTGATTTCAGCAGAGCAACGGCTCTTTGTGACTTTTCTCAGCCCTGGCGTCTCTCTCCTCTGGTGATAATCAAGATGGCTGTAGGCAGCTGCCAGGTTTACTTCACATCTAGGTGGGAAGAGTGACTCTCCTTGCAATTTTTGAAACAAAGCCTTCGTTGCTAAGTGCAGCCCCTAGAGAGCATCCCAGAAGCAGTCACCATCACCATGGTAGAGGATGGGATTGTCCTGACTGGCAGGCGCCAAGGATGGGCACAGTCAACAGCACCCAAACAGAGCTCTGTGACGTGGAGGGGGACATGCACCTGCAGGGTCTGTTGAGTGATGAATACAGAAACCTGTTGCCTTTGCCTCTTTGAGCAAGTAAGGAAACATGATCCTTTAAGATTGGTCTGAAATGATATTTAATCTGGACAAAAACACTGTAGCAAAATTATATGTTGATATGATGGTGGATTTGCATCGAAATGTTTGCTTTCATTTATAAATTTCTTTTTTGCCTGACCTGAATTACATCCTCAAAATCAACCTATGAGATTGGAAGGACAAGTGAGTTTTGCTCATAGCGGATAAAACTAAAGCTTGAAGGAGTTAGGCAAGTTATCCAAGTGAATGGCTGAACTGAGATCAGAAGGAAAAGATTCATTGATTTATAATCCTATGCTCATTCAACAGTAACACCAAACTGTAACTCCACTCTTTTTGGAGAGCCAGGCCTTACCTTCATTTATCTCAAAACTGAAGCTCAAAGATACTAAGCAACTGTGTGCCCAGCACTGCTCAACAAGTAATGGCAGAACTGAGATTGAAGCCCTCATCTTCTGATTCCAGAGTCTGTGCTCCTCATCCATTTACTCCTTCAGCGGGCAGATCCCATAAAGGAAGTGGACATGCACAGGGTTCCTTTCCTTTCACTCCTCACTTGTGAACAGCAGGGCCGATACCTTCTCTTCTCTTTCTTAAAAGCACTCATTTTAATGCTCTATGGCACACGGTAAAAATATCTATTTTAAGCATAGTCATATACATGAAGATAAAATTCCTGGTAATTGTTCTATAATATAACATGTTTTTTTTTAATTGAAATACACTTGATTTATAATGCTGTGTTAATTCTGTACAGCAAAGAGACTCGGTTATATATATACACACACACACACACATATACATACCCACACAAATTCTTTTTTATATGCATCACCATTATGATTTATCTCAGGATATTGAATAGAGTTCCATGAGCTATACAATAGGACCTCGTTTATCCATCCTAAGTGTAGTAGTTTGCATCTTTCAACCCCAAGTTCCCAGGGATGGAACTTGGGAGTCCATCCCTCCCCCATCTCCCTCGTCCTCAGTAGCCACAAGTCTGCTCTTTATGCCTGTGAATCTGTTTCTCTTCCATAGATTGGTTCATTTGTGTCATATTTTAGGTTTCATATATGAGTGATAGCATATGGTATTTGTCTTTTTCTGATTTACTTCACTTAGAATGATAATCTCATTGCATCCATGTTGCTGCAAATGACATTATTTTGTTCTTTTTTATGGCTGAGTAGTGTTCATTTTATTTGTGTACTGTATCTTCTTTATCCATTTGTCTGTTGATGGACATGTAGGTTGTCTCCATATCTTTGATATTGTGAATAGTGTCACTGCGAACCCTGGGTTGTATGCATCTTTTCAATTAGAGTTTTGTCTGGATATATGCCCAGTTGTGGGATTGCTGGATCATGTGGTAATTCCATTTTTAGTTTTCTGAGGAACCTCTCTACTGTTTTCCATAATGGCTGCACAAACTTAAATTCCCACCAACAGTGTAGGAGGGTTCCCTTTTCTCTACAGCCTCTCCAGCATTTGTATAATGTATTTTTATTGAAACCTAGAGAGTTCCTTAATCTGTGGTAAAAACATATATATATATATATATATAATTTCACTGTGGAAAGAAAGCACTATCAGTGCATCCCCCCTTTATTCCTTGGCCCTCTAATTTCCATCAGAAAACCAATAGCCCTCCAAAGTAGGCCAGTGGCTTTAGCTTTTAAATCACCAGGAATTCTTTTTACATGATCTGGCTCTGTGTGCATGGATGTTTGCACCAAGTTCTCTCTGTCTTGAAGGGTTGGAATGACTCAACCC